AAGCCCTTATTTTTTAATCTGTAAACAATAAAGAGCATCTGCCATGTGCCAGTCCCTAACGATGTCACAGTAGAGACACTAGAATGTCAATGCATTGTTGTGTTCACTACTTTAGCCTGAGGTGGGTATCACATAACCACTCCGACAAAGGCAGAGGGATCAAGCGGAGTTGATGCTACAGAGAGTAACAAGGTGATGGGAAGCTACTATTGGGGTATTCAGATCTAGTGAGGGTGCTTGAGGGAACTCTTCTTGAGGACTTGTGTCCAAGCTAAGATGATGGAAAAAGATACATGAAGCGGGCACTGTGCTGTGTCCTCACCAGCTTAGTGAACACAAATGGGCCTGTCTCTAATTTTCTGTTGGTAAAAGGGTTTTTTTTGAACTCTGGATCTGGCAGTTATCATATGAGAAATGGAGGATACTGGAATACAACGTGAGGGAGAAGTGAAGAATCGTAAAAGTGATGGCTGGTTTGCTGATGATATAGGCATGTCAGGGAGCCACTGAATCCTGGCAGCCCTAGATGATGATGCTGGATCTTGTCTGGGTATAAACTTTATGCATGTTCTTTACTGAGTTCCTGTGGCCCAGAGATTTGGAATTCTGCTTGACAGATGAGGAAAGAGAGCTTTAGAGTTTGTGGACTTGGTCCACTCACACACTGATTATTAAGAGAGTCAACCTTAAATGACCAGACCCTTCAGCATGCAGAATCCCAGCTGTTGACCATCATCAGATGATCAGAATAACCTTGGATTCAGACCAAATGGTCTTCTCTCACCTTGATGTCATTCTTCACACCCCCCTCTAGCTAGAGCCATTCCTCAGAACTGATCTCTTGATCTCTTCCCAGGCGCCGCAAGTCTTCCTTGTAGACCCTCCTAATAACTAAGTGCCTGCTATCGGAAGCCGACTTGGTGCATCTGTCCAGATGGCCAAGCCTTCATCAGCTAAAAGAGCTGAGCCTGAAAGGCATCACGATGACTCACTTCAGCCCTGAGCCACTCCAAGTTCTGCTAGAGAAAGTTGCAACCACCCTCCAGACACTGAAATTCAATTAATGTGGGATCACAGACTCCCAACACAACACCATCCTGCCTGCCCTGAGCCACTGCTCCCAGCTCACAGCCTTCAGCTTCTGTGGGAATCCCATCTCCATGGTCGCCTTGGAGACCCTCCTACGCCACACTGTCAGGCTGAGCAAGTTAAGCCTAGAACTCTATCCTGTCCCCCCAGGGTGTTATGCCCAGGGTGTTCTCCACTGAGGGAGACTTGCCCTGCTTGGGCCTGAGCTGAAGAACATACTGAGAGGTTTAAGGCAGCCCAAGAGGATCATGCTCAGTACTAACCCCTGCCCTCACTGTGGTGTTAGGGCATTTTATGACCAGAAGCTTAGTCAGTGTTATTTTTGCATGTATGTCTAGTGGTGTGGAGACATCAAAACTTTCTGGGCACATGGAAACTGAAAGCCCAGATATAGCTATATCTTACAGAGATTACAGAAATCATCATTTCATTTACTTTCTCAGTGTGAATGGGAAAGGCAAATTGTTGCAGCAGTGGCCGGGATTGTGGCTGAATGTTGATTTGGAGTCTATGGGACCTTTGGGGACATTGTCCTGTAGACTCAGAAATAGAAATTTAAATTTCTAGAGCAGAAATCAGGGTTGAATGGTACGTGAGGAAATTGCCACTGGCTGTTATGAAAGAGTAAGAAATAAATGAAACTTCAAAGTAAACTGTCTGGTGTCCTCTCTGATTGATCAACCTGTTTTAACAGTTTATGACTCAGAAATCTCCAGTTACTGAAGAAACAAAAAGGTACTGAGTTGTCTGTGATGATTGTGGTTCATCGACAGGAACTCAACACAGCGAAATGAAATCTCATCTTTCTGATCAGTTTCCTCTGGTTCTTTACTTCTCTTTAGGCCTCTGTTTCCTTCTTGCTTTTTTCTGTGGTTGTTCATTGGGTTAATACACAAGATGCACACCCGGGGCCTGGAGCATTTGATGGGGGCAGTGATTATGGGCTCCTGGGGTAAAGCATGCTCTTCTCAAGGACCCTCAGTGCTAATGAGATGCTGAAACCCTGTTCATTTCTAATGGGGGGATTCGGGAGACTCAATCCCTGAACATTCACCGTGCCAGGAAGTGGCTTCATTGCACAAGGTGTGGCCCCCGCCCTGGAAGCGGACAATGTATATTAACAGGAGCCTCAGGTCATCCCCAACCCATGCCCGTCCTTATGGAGGGTAGTAGCTTTCCCTCAGTTAAAGTCATTGTGCTCAGTAAAGTCAGGCACTTTCTCTTTTAAAAAAATGCTGAAATCATTAACACTATCATGCCTTTTAAATATTTCTACCCTATGTTAAAAAAAACTTAATCTTTCAGAAAGCTAAGTCATATCAGTGAGAGACCTTTCCATCACTCCTTCCTTCCTACCAAGAAAAGTAAAGTAGAGCACAAACCCATAGTCAGCCTTTTCACTGCCATGAAAATCCTTTGTGACTTCCCTCAGTTCAGGGGACCTTAGCTAAAGGGACCACCGAGAATGAAAAAAAGATCACTGACCTAGAGATAAAGATTCACTAAGCAAGTATATCTAATAAGAACCAAAACAGGTGCAGGCTCGGTGGCACATAGCTATAATTCCAGCACATTCGGAGGCCAAAGTGAGTGGACTGCCTGAGCCTAAGGGTTCGAGACCAGGCTGGGCAACTTGGTGAGCCCTCATATTTACAATAAATCAAAAATAGCCAGGTGTTATGGTGTGTGCATGTACTTCCAGTTACTTGGAAGACTGAGGTGAAAGCATCACCTGAGCCTAGTAGGTTAAGGATGCGGTGGCCATAAGAGTGCCACTGCCAGCCTGGGTGGCAGAGTGAGACTCCAACTCAAACAAACAAACAAAAAAAAAACACAAAGAAAAGAACCTGGGTCTGGTGGCTCACACCTGAAATCTTAGCAGTTTAGGATGTTGTGGTGAAAGGATTGCTGAGACCAGGAATTCAACACCAACTTGGGCAATGGAGTGAGATCCTTTCTCTACAAAAGAAAAAAAACATTAGTGGGATGTTTTGGCATGTACCTGTAGTCTCAGCTATTTGGGAGGATGAAGCAGGAGATTTGCTTGAAAGCAGAAGTTTGAGGCTGTGGTAAGCTGTGATTATTTGGCTGCACTTCAGCCTGGGTGATAGAGTAAGACTCTGACTCAAAAACAAAAAGAAAAACAAACAAAAACAAAAAACAATCCAGACAGAGAAAACTGGAATAAATAATTAATCCTTCACTGCAAAGACTTAGACTTAATCTCCAAAACTGGAATTATTTCTTGAAGGGCATGTACCTTGTAGTACAGGCTTCTCTCACTAAATAAGTATTCTAGAAACCTACTGGCATCAGCGTAACCACTAGCATTGTTGTGAGAGGCTGCATTCAGCTTCTGTGAATTTTTTTTGATAATTTTTTCAATGATTTTGCCCATTTCATAATGGATGATTTGTGAGTGCACCTGCACACACTGAGTTGAGTGCCAGTAGTTTTAGACAAAAAAACTGGCATGACCTCCATACCCAACCTTCCAAATTCACCCGATCTCACCCTGAGTGAAATCTTCATATATGTTTCTCTGATGAAGAAAGTCCTCAGAGGAAAATGTTTTCCTAATGTGGAAGAAGTGAAACAAACAAACAAACAAACCCAGAAGAAGCACTAAAAGGCATCAAAACTAAAAGTTCAAACACTATTTTGAGCAGTGAAAAAGCATCTTGACAGGTATATGGTATCAAATGAAAAGTACTTTGAAGGTGACTGAAGTTTAAACATATAAGAATAAATACACAACTTTTTTTTTTTTTGAGTTGGAGTCTCACTCGGTCGCCCAGACTGGACTGCAGTGGCCGCTCCTGGCCACCGTAGCCTCGCCTGTTGGGCTCCGGTGATCCTTCCGCCTCAGCCTTCCGAGTAGCTGGAATTACAGGCATGCGCTACCATGCCTGGCTGATGTTTTTGATTTATTGTAGAGATGAGGTCTCGCTGCCCAGGTGGGTCTCGAACCCGCGGGCTCAGGCAATCCACTCACCTCAGCCTCCCAAAGGCACGGGATTACAGGCTGAGCCACCGAGCCTGGCTAATACACAACTTTTATTTATTTTTATTTATTTTTTTTTTTAAAATTATTTATTTATTTTTTATTATGAAGTTGTGGGGTACAGTTAAGGGTTAGGTATATAATTGCATTTCATTCAGGTACCCTGTTGATATGGGGTGTTTCCCTGTTCCCAGACAGATATTTGCTACTGTTAATTCCATCTCCCCCCCCCCATAGTTTCTCAGTACCGTCAGTCATTTTCTTATAGTATTACATTGGATGTTTAAGGTCCATTATATGAGTGAGAACATGTGATACTCGGAACTTTGTTTCTGTGAGAGGTCACTCAGTATTATAGACTCTAGTTCCATCCAGGTTGCTGCGAAATTCTTGATTTTGTTCTTTTTTATGGCTGCGTAGTATTCCATCGTGTATATGTACCACATTTTTTTAATCCAGTCCTCTTTTGACGGGCAACATGGTTGTTTCCAGGTTCTTGCTATTGTGAACAATGCTGCGATAAACATGCGTGTGCAGGTATCTTTTTTATAGAGTGATTTGTGTTCTTCAGGATATATTTTAACAACAGGATTACTGAGATAAAAATGGTATTGTCAGCAATAAGTCAGATTTTATTCTGTTTTTATTATTTTATTTGTGCTTTGGAATGAACACTTATTGATTTTTTTTCCCTCCTTAACATTCCTTTACCTTTTCTTGTCCCGACAGTGTCTGATGATGCTTTGAAAAAATGCCGGTCTCTACCCCCAACTTGTGTCTTAAGCAAAATTTACTCTGTTCGGCCTCAGTAGTGGGTTTCATGACATAGGTGGGATACCAGCGCATTTTCTTCTCAGGTCACAGCGATGGG